AATAACAAAAGAAAACCCTTGCCCCAAGAGAAATAGGCCGAAAATTTTGAAAGCTGAAATCCAATTTGATTCTCTTAGATTTCTATTGGCTATTTACTTGCTGTGTTCATATCAGTACAGTTTGTTTTCATTTAAACTATCCCAAGTTTTATTTTTAAAGCTTTTCTCGTCTGCCTTTCTTTCACAAACACAGTAAACTGAAGAATATAAAGTCTGTTTTTATTAACCTCTTGCATACATTCCAGATGATTTCACCTCCCAATGATCTCATTCTGATTTCTTTTCTGATCTTCACTTTCCTTTTGGACCCTTTCCTTTCCAGAAACAGAGAATGCCAAATTCCTTCTGACCAAAGTGACCATCTACTTCTGGCCGGACCCAAATGGACCACTGATCGGCTGCTGCCCTTGTAACCACCACTTCCCTCCACTCCCAGTGCCCTCCCTGTTTCCCAACCCAGCCACCCACTACCACTCGCCCAAGACAGCAGGTCTCAAAAAGAGATGGCTTAGTCAGAGTTCACCGTGGCAACAAGGATAGGAAACTCTTCTTTGACAGGTACTGCAAAGGAGTCTTATGGAAAGTGGGGTTTCCAGCAGCCGTCTATGGAAGTAGCTTCAGGCTTTTCTCCTGAATTCAGCCACAGCAAGGGACCCTCAATCACAGTTCCCTCACACAACTCAGTGATTTCTCTTCTCAGCTAGCCTCTCCAAGCTGCCCCAACAGTTCTTACTGCCCAGGGTGGAGGGATATTTCTACCCATCCTTTATCAGTGTTTCTAAACTTCAAGCTCACTTAAAAATCTCAGCATCAAACAAAAATAGCTCAGGAATTAGAAATGTCCCTAAAATGCAATATATTCAATAGCAACTAAAGTTAATTTTCAAGGTTTTAAGAATTTTTGTTTTAGTTTTGGTATGGTTTTAAAAAAACAACCTATTTTTAAAACTCTCTTCCCAGGCTGGTGTTACCGTCTAAAACGGCCAGGCCTGTATTCAACCAAACCAACTGGCTTGGAAAAAAAACATCTCCAGGGATTTCTAAATACAAACAGAGTTGTTTAGGTATCAGGATGAGCTGGCACAATCTGTCTAGTCCTTCCTTTCAGGTTTCCTAGCATGCAAGTAAACCCCGGAGGGAGAGAAAAAGTTCCTTCTGGCTCACTCTGTAGTTCATACTTGACCCATATTTTATGCTACTTCAAGCAGAAATCTGCTGAGAAGCTCACAAAAAATACATGAAAAGCTCTTTAGGGACAATTTCACCACCCTTGATAGAAATGACTACAGATGTGCACACAGCCTCCTCTGCAGAGACTGCTTACTGCTGCACTCGACTTGTGCAGTGAGAAGGTTTTATTTCCTTAGTTGGTGGCAGCTTAATTATCAGCCTTCAGAAAAGAGGATCAAGTAGGTAAGCAAGTCTAAATTGTACTCCGCCATCATTTCTAGCAACCTCTAATCACTGGTAAGGACTTGAGTGTAAACAGCAAATAAGCACATGACCATGGTTTTTAGTGAAATCAAGGAGAGCTGGATTTCAAAGGAGCCAATGTATTTAAAAAACAAAAGCTTAGGCACTGTTATAAGACCAGGGTTAGATTGCCGATTCTGACAATTCCCAGCCAAGTGTTCTTTATCAGTTATGCCACCCCCTGACTCTCCAACGGCTCACTCAGAAAACAGAAATGAGAATATCTGCAATGAATCCCTCACCCACTAGGCGTGATAAAATGAGAAAATGGGTGATGAAGCACTTTTTACATGAAGAACTACTGCAAATGTATGAGAATATTCATTTGTGCATTATTCAAAGAAAGAGAATTAAACATGTTTTGCTAAAAATTTTAAAACCAATATCTAAAAAAAAACTCAGACAAAATATCATATAGAAATACTTACATCAAGATAATTAAAAACAGAGTGAAATAAGGGAAGCATTTGACTACGGTGACATTTGTAATTATGGAATATTTGCAGTAAGAAAATGAAGTAAGAAATCAATTGAACTTATTTATTTGATGAAGAAAAGGCGAGAGGTGGAATTATAAGTACTCTTGGAAGGTACTAGTAAGGCTAACTAGAAAAGGAAAATTGTCCTTTGGTGATAATCTATAAACTGGCTTGAATAAATGTATATTTAGAATTATCTTTTAATATTTAAGCTGTTTCCTTAATTCCCTGCTAATTCAAGAAAATCACAGTTCATGTCTTTTGTATTGCCTCACAAATCTTCCACTGCTCCTAAATATCTGATTAGTTGGGACAAAGGCATATACAATTTTTAAGTTTTCTGAGAATAAAAAGAAATGCAGAAAGAAAAGTTTGAGGCCTAATTTTAGTTTTGTGGAAGGTACAGAATAATAAAATCAAGTGTTTTAGGGCTGGAAGGGACTTAAGGACAGCTGACTTATTTTTTTTTAAACTTTCTTTGATATATGTTTTTGAATTACAATTAAATTTAAATTTGAATTACAATGATCATTTAATAATCACCCTGGTTTGATCCCTATCACTGTCAGTGAGTGGCATTCTTTCTTGGGGAAAATCTTACAAATGTTGAGGTCAAGTTAGGGATTGATATTAACTTGTTTTCCTTCCTAACAGAGCCATGGAATCAAGTCCAGGTGCCTGCCCAAACCAAGGCTTATCAGATTTGTCTTCCTCTATCCAGAAAGCTGAGCAGATTGTGAAGTTAATCAGACGTGGGAGAAAGGAAAAGTGGAAGCATTGACTAGAATAGCCCAACCCCATCATTTATTTACATGTTTATGTAAGCTCTGGTATGTTTATTTGGTAACAATTCCCCATCTATCTTATAATGTTTCTGACATGAAACTTTGTCCTGCAACCCAATATACTATCATTATAGCTCTCACTAGCAATGAAGCAGAAACTCTGAATTCTCTATTGCAAGGAATCAAATAAGAAAGCAAAAACTGACACACTCATTTTAAACTGTATCATATAACAATCGCTCAGAACCCAGCAGGTTATGAATGAAATAAATATACTTTATTTATTACACAGGCACTTGTATATTCACATGCCCAACACAACTGATACACTTAACAACTACGGAAACAAATGGAAAATGTGTTTGTAGGATCAAGAGAGAACTTTTATCACGTAAAGGTGAATGAGTGCATTAACATTTTTCCTTTACTTTCCTCTAGGAATTTCCAAAATTCACTGAATTTTTAAAAAAAGTTACACTTAAAATAATATTCAACAAAAACTTATCTACATTCCAACTGGTATGCTAATTCAAATTGTGAGTGGTTTAAATTTTTATCACAATGCAACATATTTGTAGTCATGCTTGAACAGATTAGGTTAGTAGCATGCATTCCATTCTGCAATATGAATACTGTTAATCTATTTCCCAACAAAAGTCAAAAGATGCTCAGTGCATAGAAAAATACAAATCACTATAATCAATATATTATGAAACTGATCTTGGGACTTACACGGTGATGATGAAGTCCTGAAATGCCATGCCCACAAAAGCACATTAAAAAGTGGATAAACATACTTTATCAGACAATTTCTAAAAATTAAAAGATGAGGGCCTTAAATTTGGGGGATGTTCTCGCTGTGTACTTTGAATAGCGCCTTTCTGCTCACCTCCTTCTGGCTTGACTGGTCCATCAGACATCACCTTCCTGAGGGCTAGCTGGCTTTGGTCTTGGTTGCCATTGGCTGGTGGAGGCAGATTATCAGACTGAGTTCTTTGAATGGGGAAGACTCCTGCTATGCTGTGTCTGTGCTGCTTCCTGGCATGATTAGACTGACCGCTTTTATGTGCTGCTGTGGCAGTGTGGGTGAAATGGAAACCCAGAGTATGTATCCTCAGATGGAACCAGCTTGAATGTCATTCATGCAAACATAAGTGATGTTTTGCTCTACTGAAATTAAGTTGTGTTTTCAAATGCCGAAATGACATCACATGCGCAGCACTAAAGGGGGTTAAAACTGGCTGTTTCTTTGGAAATGATGATTTTTGGGAGATGGGAACATTCATTTATCTCCGTTGTTCGGCTGATGCCTCTTGGAAGTAACTGTGCCCCAGCATTTTCAAAGTCTCTGTACTTACTAAGTTCTTGTATCATTGTTATCAACTGAAATTACAGCAGTTAAAATGGGTGATTTGTTATGCTTTAGTTGATATCTTGACTTCAAAGGATTTCCAATGGTTAAAGAAAGAATAACCCTATAAATTTTCTGGAATCATAAACAAAGTGTGACCCAACTGAATGGGCCCAACTGTGCTACTTAATGAGGCGACGACATAGTCTCATCACATATGCTTGTACATATATTAATACTATGTACTTTTGAGAATATAAGAAACATGATTTTCTTCACAGCTTTTTTTTCAAAAGTCTAAAAAGTTTCTCACACAGAAATCTTCATCATTTCACATGCACAATTTATTAAACTTTTTAAGATTGATATGTCTTTTCCATTTCTCCTAGGTTCTAGAAGTTGACTGTTGGTCACATTATTCTTCTGTCTAAAATTGTTTAGTGTTTTTCAGAGGCGAGAATCTCATTGCTAGTCTGCTCCAAACAGTTGTGTGTGTGTGCTTTTTTTTGTTTTGTTTTTGGTGTAATGCCTGGAAAATTGGCAGCCACTTGTGCTTATAATTTCTGTATTCTAAAGGCTATTTAGGCGCACACAAAAAGGATACACAACATGGCTTTGCCTGCAAACATCACAGACACAGCTCCCAAATACAATGAGCCAGGTTGGACGGATGGTAGAGACAAAGGAGAAACAGCCAGTTTTATTTTTGGTCTATGTAAACCAAAAAGAAAAAAAAACAAAATAAGAAAGAGCATAGTTATGTATTGATACTGTTCCTACACAGACAAGGGGACAGAGAACAGAGGGAGTAGGGAAAGCCAAACACAAAGCAAATGGGGGAAGACAGCAGGAAGGAAAGGCAACAGATGAACATCAAGCTGCCATGCTGAGGAATTTATTTGCGTCTTTTACTTGGTTGAAGGCGGAGCTGTTGCACGGCAGCTTCGGCAGCGGCTATAGCAGCCCCTGCATCTTCCAGGTGGGTCTGAGTGACGCTGGTTTTGCTTTGACTGCGAGATGGTCCATGAGAGCGGAGATGGCCTTCGGATGAGGATTTCGAGCTACCGGGACTACTATGGGATTTCTCAATGGTGGGAACCTGCATGTCTGGTTACAAAAAGGTAAAACACGAGTTAAAGTTGCTCCAGCGTTCCTCTTGTCAAGCTTGGCTTACACAATTTGAAACCGTCTAAGACTGATGATAATTCTGTTTGGTTTTTGGCTCATTTGTGCAACTGCTCACCATAAAGCAATGTGATTCACCATTTGGGAGACAGTTTTTGGGAAGAAAGACAAGAGGACGATAATCTTGAGAAGAGAGGTTTGAGAAGAGGAATGCATTTGAAGTAGTCATGTAAATGAATATATTGACATAATTTTACCAAGGAACTCTGCTAATTCTAGTGGAGACCAGGGGAGAAACGACAGGCTGACACTGCCACAGGAGGAGTTTTAAGTAAAAAAGATAGTTAATTCCTGGAGGAAGGGGTGTGAGTCACTGGGATACTTGGAAGTGGAGACGGTATCATCATCATCTCAGGTGATTTTAAAGAATGTACATATAAGATCACACATTTACTATGGCAGCTATACAGAGAGAGAGGTCTTTATACTGATCATCTTTCAGAATGGCAATCAGGGCAGAGTTAATCTGGCTACATGGAATCCAGAAATGGTATATAAAATTCATAAGTAATCTATAGCACATATTGTAATCAGTGGTTTTTCATATTAACTCAGTGGCCTTTGGACATAATCTCAGTTTTCCATCTTGTAGAATATTTGTATTTCTGACCCACATTGCAAAAAACCACTTTTCAATTATGCTGTACTTCCTGAAAGAGGCAAAAAAGGAAGGAATACTCATATCCAATATAAAACTTTTTATTTAATATTTATAAATAGCTCAGCATATCCTGGAAAGATACTCCATGGTTATCTCATACAGGCAGTGAATCAGTTTATGATGAGGATTAATGCTGTGTTGTAGGATAACTGGTTACTGAACCTCCCAATGGAAAAGTTCTTTCAAATGAGAAAACTGTGCATACTGCCAAACCCAGTGTATAATGCTGCAATTTAAAAAATAATAGTTAAAAAAATTATAGAATTAGTTTGAATCCACTATTTAGGAAAGATTTTTTTTCAGCATACCAATTGTTTTGATAACCTAAGGAAAACATTTTTGATATAATTAAAAAGCAAAATGCAAAGTTGTATGTGTCCATATATTACATTTATAATGAATAAGAATGTATGTATGAAAAATAGGGATATAAGCAATTAGAAGAAATATGTAAGAATTATAATGATGATTACATCTAGTCAATGTACTGTTGAGGATTTTCATGTTTTCTTTATGAAATATCCCAATACATTTTATAAAATCATATTATCTTGGATCTTGAGAGCTGGAAAAGACTCAATAGCTCATATAATGCAACCTTCTCCATTTTACAGATTCAAAAACAGAGAACCAGAGTGGTGAAGATCACAAAGGCATTGACTTAATTATGGGCTGATCTGAGACTAAAGTCCATTTCTCCAGATTCCATATCCATCACTCTTTGCATGATATTGTGTTAAATATTTCCCAGTAGAACCCAACTTTTCAAAAAATATTAAATATACAAACACTTATATTCAGAAAGATCCTGAGTGAGCAAATAGACAAAAGTTTTGCTACTTGAAATATTTCCTACCCTTGGATGGGTCAGGGAAGATACCATGGCTTCTGCTTTTGATGACAGATGGCTTTGGGGACTGCTGGCTGCTCTGACTGGAATGGGACTTGCCATGATCAATGCTTTCAGTCTGTTCTTTGAGCGGATACCACCTAGGCGTGTTATCAAGGTGAGATGTGCTAGATAAATCAATCAGTACCTGAAAAAAAATGCAGTAACTGAATGAAATTTATGGATTAATCTATAATTCATTTGTTAATTTTTTCTGTGATCTGAAATTTATTCAAGGACATAAAAGGATATAGTATCTTTTAGGATGATAAGGCTGTCTTCCTCATTTTTCTTCATCCATAATATTGGGAACAATGTCTTGTGCATATTAAATTCTTCATAAATGTTTGGTTAAATTGCACTGTATTACATCTCTGACTATTAATTAAATTATTTGGAGATTATGCAAAAAGAGAGATTACAAATCAATTTCTTTATGAAATAAAGTTTTCTTTTGTTAAATGGACACGTTCTAGTCCTAGACTTGGCTAGCAATTTTTTGAAGATTGTTTAATTTTAGTTACCAGAGGGACAAAATGAAAAGAATGGCTAATTTTAAATTATTAACTTATTCCATCTATTTTAAAATCTATCAATTCACATTTGGAACAGGGATATGACCAACAATTTATGAAAAGAAAGCACTGCATCATGGTTTAATTGGCAACGTTTTCTTTTTCTTAGTGGCACATCAACAATGGTGCATTTTACAGTAGTTGGCATCTTAAATTTGATCAATATAAAAAAATGAAAACCAGCACAATGGATATATGCCTTAGGTTTATGTGAACAATAAATTATCAGGACTTCAGTAAATCAGCTTTTTGAAATAGGATCATAAATCAGATATAACAGTACACTCTAGAGTAGTCCTATCTAAAACCAAGATTAGTCCAAGTGGCTATTCCACGTGGAGCCTGCAGGTGAAATTCAAATGGGAAAGAGGTACAGATGTAGGAACAAAACAAGACTTTGTGTCACTTAAGACTATGCAACTGTTTTCTATTGTTTCTATCAAAAGGATATCATATTTTCTAGGTATTATATATTTTTGGAGAGGATTTATTTTTCAATGATAATTCATAACTTCTGCTTTAAGCAAAGATCACCAAACAAAAATATGTATTTTTATTTTCAAACATTATAGATGAAAAAAAAAAATCACAAGATCTGACCATCCTGCCAGATTTCATAATTAGGTTACATCCCTTGTGATTTACAAAAAATTTGTTTTTATTGTTTTCTTTTACTTCTAGTTTTGCTTCTTAAAATATTTTGAGATTTTTCTGTGAGACACTTAAAAAAAATAAGAATATAAAATGTCACATCAAGTCATTCATACATGGAATGAGGAACAGCAGTTAAATAACCTGAAAATGCATTTGAAAAAATTCAGCTCATTTTATAATAAATTTATCTCAAATCTTTAACATAGTCATTTGGATTCACAACATGATTATATAACTTTCTATCAAACAATTAATATTTCACCTTGAAAATTAATTATAAAGTACATTAAGTGGTAAAGTGAAAAATTTCTCCAAATATTCATCTATTCAGAGTCAGTTTGAAAATAAATTCTATTGACCAAAGAATTTTATCCAGAAATAGTTATTTTATACATTTAAGAAATTTCCTTTCCATCAAGCTTTAAATAAAGGCTTATAATGAAGTAAATGAAAAATAAAAGAAACCATTGGCTCACCTCACCAAGAAAGTCATTGGAAGAAAATCTATCATAATCCCAGACTGTCACCTCCAGTGTTTTCTTCTTGAGCTACAGTTCAAATCAAAATGTTATTAACCTCATTCTCATCATAAATTTTTATTATACTCATATAACAGAGCCTTTTATTTTTATTCCTTGTACTCTGCCCATTTATGTAAAAATAGTTTTAATTTTATCTAAAACTGTACACTTACATTAAATATTATGTAAACTGTCAATCATTTTGTGGTCCAACCGAGTGTTTGATCATAAGGTACCTCACTGTTTTGCAAACAAAAGGGTGATTTTTACTTATTTCCTGTTATTCTGCCCCCTCCCATTATTAAAAGTACAAAGCAGAATCTATATATACTCTTTAACACATGAAATTCATAGGTCATAAAAAATGTCTAGGTTATTTAGATAAAGTATTTGGATTTTAGTTTGTTGTCTCAGTAAATTGCCAAAACACATTTGTAGCATTATCTTAATTTTGCAGGTGAATTTAACTTATTTTCAACTCAAGAACCCAGATTATAATTTATATCTGGCTTCAATTTCATGGTCAAATTAGAAATCTTCCAGAGGATAAATTAGAAATCTCACTTTGAAAGACAACTCATTTGTAAATTGCTTCCATGGATGTCTTCCTTCTATTTTATTTGTATTCTCTTCTCTCTTAATTCATCCTTATAAACCATCAGTTATTTTCTGTAAATCATGCATTGTTATGAAGATTTTCACAAATATATTGATGCAGTTTTGCCTAGAGTCATTCTGTTTCTGGTGGTAACCCTTTACATTAGTTTTCTTCATGCTTTCTTCTGTACAATTCAGTTCCACAATGCCAGATCCTTATTACGTCTCAATTTAGAGAAAAGACGATCCCCAAAATGTTGCCTGATGGGATAATTCATTTCAGTGTATCCAATTCTTTTGTATCTCTATACTGTTTATAAATGTCATGATATGCCTAGCTGTAAATATTTTCCTTCAAAATATAATAGAGCCCAGTCTACTTAAATATTTCATTTTGAAATAATCAATGGAAAATGTCCTACTAATCTTATTTATTGTGTTTATTTTTTAGCTGTTTTGCCAAAATTTGCACATTTTCTTTCACCATGTCTTTGAACTGCACTCAGTTCCTTTTATGGCTACATTTCTAGAAATGTACTTTACCTGTTTTTTTTGTTTATTTTGTTTATATAGTAAAATTGATATAAATCACAATCTTTCAATAATTTTATCATCACTCTTTTTATATTAGCCTAAATCTGTTATATAGAAAATAATAGCTTGCATACCTGTTCCATGGAGATACTTTTATAAATCACTGTTTGATTCCACTCAGGATTAAGACTTTTCTGAACGTATTTAGTCCTTCTCTTGTACTCAGCACTGAATTAGAAGAAAAGAAAAAGTTATCTTGATTATTCACCTTGACTGGTGACTTCATAGTCAACCTGAAGGGCATGCAGACTTTTAAAGGTACTTTGTTTTGAATCACTATGTAATCATCTCATCATACTGATGTCTTAAACCATATCTTAAGTTGAATGCACAATAACAATTTAAAAATATCTTGGAATACTTTAGTTTTATTTTCCCTAAGCTATTTTTTTTTAAAGAAAAGCTTTTGGTATTTTAACTGTAATATAATTTTAGAAATCTTAATCTCTCCTGAATGTGTGAGATAATTACATGAACTATACAGTAATGTCAATATATTCTTATCCCATAAATAATAATTTGGTATTTAACTTTCCAATAGTTTTACAACTGATCATGTCAGCAAAGCCAAATGGTTTTTCAATTTTTTTCCATAAAAGACTATAATAACTGTATTGACTGAGGAAAGGATGAAAAATGGCTGTTACTATAGCTGAGATCTCATGAATATTTGTTATCTCATATTTATAGTATATTCTGACACTTTTAGTAAAACAGTAATATAGTTATGAAACAATCCTAATTAAATATAAATTCTTGGTTTCTGTCAATACCTTGTTATAAATGATAAGCCAAATCAAAACTTTTCTTTATTCATTATAACTTGGGCCATTTGAGTTTGTCCTTGACTCTTCCATGCCCTCTAGTCAACTGTTAGAAGCTTATATTTTACATGTTTAAGCATGAGTATTTTTAAAACTTATTTTAATTAAGTTTGATAAAACATCTATACTGAGCATCAATCAGTGGAGTTGGAATTACTGCTATTTGCTATGAGCCAATGGCACCCACACAGACCAAACCTTTCTCTAACATTCACTGGCTTTTCCCTAATTTTTTGCCTGGAAAACAAACCTACTAGGTTGGTGCAAATGTAATTATGGCTTTGGACTGTGAATTCTAAATAATTATTAGTAGGCTCAAACACCTCTTTATTAATCAAAATAGGAACCATTACAATCAACACACTTTTGCCACTGAGAAGTTTGTTTATTCCTGTAGCATAAAAATCCATGCTTTGGGATTTGATGAACTCTTGTGAAACATTTTCTCCCTCCTGCTGGTTGTGGAAGCATTTCCCCTGCAAAAACTTGTCAAGATGCTTGAGAAGTGGTAGTCAGCTGGTGAGAGGTCGGGCGAATATGGAGTATGAGGCAAAACTTTGTAGCTCAATTTGTTCAATTTTTGAAATGTTGGTTGTGCAACATGCTGTTGGGCATTGTTGCAGAGAATTGGGCCCTTTCTGTTGACCAATGTTGGCTGCAGGCATTGCAGCTTTTGGTGCACCTTATGGATTTGCTGAGCATACTTCTCAGATGTATTGGTTTTATTGGGGTTCAGAAAGGGGCAGTTGATCAGCAGCAGCCCACCAAACAGTGACCATGACCTTTGTTTGGTGCAAATTTGACTTTGGGAAGTGTTTTAGAGCTTCTTGGTCCAGTCACTAAGCTGGTCATTGACGACTGTCATATACAATCCACTTTTTGTTGCACATCACAATCCAATCAAGAAATGGTTCATTGTATAGAATAAGAGAAGATAACATTTCTATTTATAATATATGTGCTCCTGAAATGAGCACAAGAGAAGATGACACTTCAAAATGGTGATTTTTTAAATTTCTGGCCAGCTCATGAGGGACCCACTTATCAAGCTTTTTCATCTTTCCAATTTGCTTCAAATACTGAATGACCATTAAATGGTTGACCCTGAGATCTTTGGCAATTTCCTGTGTAGTAGTAAGAAGATTAGCTTTGATGATGCTCTCAATTGGTCAGTGTCAACTTCTGATGGCTGGCCACTATGCTCATCTTCAAGGCTTTCGTCTCCTTGCAAAACTTCTTGAACCACCACTGTACCATATGTTCACTAGCAGTTCCTGGGCCAAATGCATTGGTGATTTTGTGAGTTGTCTTTGCTACTTTACGACCCATTTTGAACTCAAATAAGAAAATTGCTTGAATTTGCTTTTTGTCTAACATCATTTCCATGGTCTAAAATGAATATAGACAGCAAGTAATAAGTCATTAGCAAAAAACATTAAGTGAGAAATGTGCATTACAATGATGTATAACAATCATATTTATTTAGAATGTATTCCAACATCAGAAAGCAAATTTCAACAATACAAAAACTGCAATTACTTTTGCACCAACCTAATACTTGTCTGGGGTCCTTTCCTGTGCCTGGAATTCATAAATTGCCTTTCCCTGAAAGTAGTGGATCTTCACCCTAGATCTACAGTTCTATTCCCAACAATGGACAACAGACTAACTCTTGTTATATTAATGGCCTCAAGCCTTGCTAAATTCTGGAATACCTACTATTGTCCCCCAGACACTAGTTTATTCATTCTAGATAAAAATATTGAGAGTCAAGTTCCATTTCACCACTCACTTTCAGAGATACATCTACAGCCAAATATCTTTTTTCTCCCTCTGGCTTTATTCTCTTTCTTATTGCATATACAAGGGCAATAATCACTGGTTGCCTGTTAGAATCACGCCGGGATCTGTGTTCCAACTGTGGGGGATGGTGCAAACAGTATGTCCACATCTCCCTTCCCTTTACTCCTTATGAGAGTCTTATTTAATAGTCCTGGGGTGAGGCTTGAGCATCAGAATTTTTAAAATGACATGAGTAAATCTAAAGTGTTGTCAAGATTGAGAACCGACTAGTTAATGTCTCCAAAGACTTCACATTTCAGCCACTGTGAACTGAATTCACTTTAAGAAATGAAGCAGCACTGTTCTAATTTTTAAACAACCTATTTGAATGTACAAAAATAAGAACACGATGTGACAATTTTGTCATTCAGCATAAAGTGCAAAGAATTCTGGGGAAATGAATAGGCAATGATTCCAAGATAAAAGAACTTTCATAGACTGTGGACAGAAAGTATATATTTTTATGTATATGTTTTAGGTAAATCTGTCTAGTGAAGTTTACATACCCAAGTACTCAGAAAGTTCCACTTTGACTTATTCCAATTTTACTCTAGAGAACTCTCTCACATGTATCTAAAGAATTCTTCAAGAACATTCACTGCAATATTGTTTCTAATAGTATGTGAATAAGATAAGAAATACAGGCATTATAATATATTCATTCAACGAAATTGGGGCTTCCCTTGTAGGTCAGTTGGTAAAGAATCTGCCTACAATGCAGGAGACCTGGGTTTGATTCCTGGGTTGGGAAGATCCCCTGGAGAAGGAAATGGCAACCCACTCCAGTATTCTTGCCTGGAGAATCCCATGGACAGAGGAGCCTGGCAGGCTACAGTCCACGGGGTTGCAAGAGTCGGACATGACTCTTGAATGAAAACACCTTATATATCAAGGTGGATAAATACTAAAAAAAATCTTTAGCAAATAATTTTCAGAAGAAAACCTAGAGTAGGTTATCGAGATATAAATTGAAATCACATGAAATAATAGTGTAAATTATTTACATCTACTTGTATATATGTATGACAAACATGTTAATATCATAAGGCAGTGTGGGATTTATAGATGTTATACTCTATTTAGTGGTTATCTCAGATAAACAGAGGAATGGTTTCAGAGGGCTTCAGGGGTAGCTATAACATACTTTTTATTAAAAAAAAAAAAAACAACTGAAGCCAGTATAGCAAAATATTGAGATTTGATAAAATTGAATATTAAGAAAATAAGTACTTGTGACAGTATTTTCTATAATATTCAGTAGGTTTAAAATATTTTATAACAAAAATTAAAAATTATTTTAGCAAATTACATCCTTTTATATTTTATGATTTTCCTTTTTAAATTCATGATGATATAAGAATGAGTATGATCACTTTTAAGTTAATAGTCAACTTTGGTTGCTTCTTTAGAATTCATGGCTATTTCTCTAGTAGAATTTAAAAAAGCACATTGTAGTATGAGTTTTGAAGTTTCTGTTTTGGACTTAATTATCAAAGTGTGAGATCATGGGAGAAAATATACTAGGGATAAGATTCATAATGCAGTGAACAGTGGTAAAAATGTTATTTTTTTCAAATCCTGATAAACTGAAAGCATACAATTTTAAAATAAGATTGAAGATGGAAATTAATGTCAAATGCAAACTCATGTATTTTTACTAAAATTCTAGATATGCCAATATATATTTAAATAGCTAAAACTACTGAAATGTCTTCAAAAGATGTATTAGTCACCATTTTCCCTTTATTTATAAATATTAACAATTGTAATAACATTTCACATGTATATTTTAGTCATTCTTTCACCTATATCTAGCAAAATTATTGAGTGCCAACTTTGTGTCAGGAACTATGCTCTATAAAAATGTACAGCTGCAAAACTTTTAATTGTATTGACATACCATTATGTCATGAGAAGCACTTTGTAAGGTCAGCATATTAAAATAATAACAGCTAACATTAATGAAAGGCTTTTTCACAGGCAGAGTCTAAGTGCTTTTCATGTGTTAAATTATTTAATCCTCAAAGCAACTCTGTTAGTCAAGTATTATTTATTATCTTATTTTATAGCTGATAAGAACTGAAGCTCAGAGGAATTAAGGCAAGCAGGTAAGGCTGCAGTTATTAATTCATAGGACAAAGTTTCAAACACAAGAATACCGATTTCTTGCTCTTGAACATGGGCTATATGAACTCAGTTAATTAGGCCCATCATAAAATGTGACTAATCTATCACTTTTCTTAATTTTTCATTAGCTGAAATGTCTAGTTTGTCTTATTTTAAAATATAAAATTATACACCTCAAATTAAATATATATTTATACATATACAACATAAATTATTTACAGCATGTATATACATATATATACACACACACATACTGAAAATCAGGACAGTTTTAGAGTTGCTTAGGAAAATACTGAATGGTGTGTTGTAAGAAAAGTGTTGTGGAACTAAGGATAATTAGTATAAGTACTAACTTCTGTTCAGATACAATCAGATATAACCCCAATTAGTTGGGAAAAAATTAGATGTTTAATTCACTAGATAATATAAGTTCGACTCTCCAGTCTGTATCCTTTGCCTTTAGGGTTAATGAAGGTAAACACACCTTACTCCTGACCTTGCCTCTACCAGCCCAGGTTGACTTGTGTAAATGCAAATGAAATCCTTTGCAATCTTTTCACACTTGAATTTCCTGACGTGCAGAGAAGGCCACAAAGGCCACGAAGCTTTGCCTTCATTTACCCTTGTCTTATGGCCACCATGTACTGACTATATTGGGCAAGATGCCAATGGACTATGTTCTGAATTTACACAATTGGAAACTCCACATTTCTCAGCACTATATCAAAATCTGTGGATTTACAAGTTGAAGGTGGCCAGGTAAGCAGAATTCTTGAATGTGAGCAGAAATCCAGGTGGAGAAAAAGTGGAGCTCATTTTTCTTTCCTACCCTGTCTAATAAACACACTGCGGTCTCTCATGGGAAGGCTGAAATAATATTATTTTAGGATAAGTAAGTTATATCTAATAATCAGAGACTTTTTTAAATAAGTGAAAATAAAAAGCCAATTAATCAAGATGGGACACGGTGCTTATCAAAAAAGCTAAACCTTTATTTCCTTGAAGTGTTGACTAATTTCTTTTTTCTTTGATTTTTATTGTTATGGTCACTTTTTCATAAGTAGATATGATTTTAAGGCTGACAGGAAAGATACTTAAAATTCAGTTATTTTCTCCAAAACCAGCAGAATAAAACAGTTCTCTGAGTTTCTCTTTAATTAAAAAAAAAATTGAGAAAGAAGAGTGGAATATAATGTCTTATTTATATTTAACCCTCATAGAATTATATAAAATATTGAAGGTCTTCATTTATTTGCTTTCTCTCAATTGGAAAAATACATATTTCTTTACTGAAAAATATATAATGACTCATATATATACATATACATACATAAATATACACATATACATACATAAATACACACATACACACACACATATAGTGAAGTGAAACTTGCTCAGTGGTGTCCGACTCTTTATCCCATGGACTATGGTGCCGCTCTTGCTAAGACGCTTCAGGTGTGTCCGACTCTGCAACCCCAAGACGGCAGCCCAGCAGGCTCCGCCATCCCTGGGATTCTCCAGACAAGAACACTGGAGTGGGTTGCCATTTCCTTCTCCAATGCATGAAAGTGAAAAGTGAAAGTGAAGTCGCTCAGTCGTGTCCGACTCTTTGAGACCCCACGGACTGCAGCCCACCAGGCTCATCCGTCCATGGGATTTTCCAGGCAAGAGTACCGGAGTGGGGTGCCATTGCCTTCTCCGCCTTGGACTATATAGTCCATGAAATTCTCCAGGCCAGAATACTGGAATGGGTACCCTTTCCCTTCTCCAGGGGATCTTCTCAACCCAGGTCTCCTGCATTGCAGGCAGATTCTTTACCAGCTGAGCCACAAGGGAAGCCCAAGAATACTGGAGTAGATAGCCTATCCCTTCTCCAGCAGATCTTTCTGACCCAGGAATTGAACTGGGATCTCCTGCATTGCAGGCAGATTCTTTACCAGCCAAGTTTTCTTCAAAATTATTCCTGAGGATATTGCCTTTAATTTAGAAAGCAGCACAGAGCATGTCCCATTTTATAAGCTTTGTTTCTCTGTGTGAAAGAATGCATATATGGCTTGTCACTTGATTGTGCTCCTTGAGGTCTGAGACTATGGCTGTATTCTCAATTCCAACCCCAGCAAAGAGTTTGGAATAGTTTCTGCTAAATAAATGTTTATTGAATGGATCCTTAAAACATGTTTGTACTTCTTTTTTTCTTTAAAATCTACTGAAATACATTAAGTTTTGGCCTTCAAATTGTAAATATATACAACATGTATACCTGTGTTACATTCGTTACAGAGGAAATAGTTTGAGGTGCTAACAAGGGTGTTTAGAGAAAGTCCAGCCAGGAACTGAGCTTCCAGGTACCAGAATAGAGAAAATAAGCTTCAATTATAGCAAAATTTCATTAGTGGGAAAAAAATTTCTGCACTTTGTCTAGCAGTGTAAGGAAAGAAAAGCAGAATGAAATCCTTCAGATATGCTCATTTTCATTTCTTAATTATCTAGGGACAAGTATTGAGTTAATGGACTCTTTAGTCTATTGTCTTTCTTTCACCTCATCTTGGCTGATATCTGGGCTATGAGAGCTTATGAACATCTTGATCAAAGGATGGGAAGAGGAAATAAAAGGGGACAAGAAAACCAGACCAGTGAAATTAAATTAAATTTTTTTTAAGCATTTAGGATGTATTATACTTATTACTGAAGAAAAGTTGCTTGATTTTCTATATAGTGTTGTTAAATAATTTAGTATAATTCAGTAGCCAAAGCATTCTATATCTCTTTTCTGTTGCAGAGTTAAGTGACCACTGGCAACATGAAGTTTATTATACATATCTCTGTAAATAATAGCAATTGCCATTTATTGAGAGCTTATTATGTGCCTGACTTATGCTTATCATTTTTGGTGTATTCTTCATGTGTTTCACAAAAGTCCTGGGAGGGGGCTACTAAGATTCCTAGGTAGAAGAGGACATAGTTTTAGAGAAACCTCACAACTTCTAAGTGGTAGGGCTGAAATTCAAACTCAAGCTCTTAAGGACTTTACTCATTGGCCTCTTCAGTCTAACTTACAAAGTCAATACTTTATCAGCATAATTCCTTTTCACACTGACAGTTCTAGAAGACATGATGAAAATAACTTCAATATGAAAGACATGACTAAGTGACTTCTAGATCTTCTGTAATGTAATCCAGCACATCTCAGATTGACTATTATTTACATTTACAAAAAACATGTTCTCTTCTAAATTAAATATAGACAAGCACTGTCATTCTGACAATTTCCCCCTAGTTTGTCCTGATAAAAGAGAGAAAGCTTCTGAATAAAGGGACTGATAATGTCTGTTCTGAAGTGACATGATCCCTTTGAAACAAAACTCATTTTGCCTATCAGTCTGAGAGGTCTGGATGATGCCTGAGAAGAGAAAGCCAGTCATAACAAGTGACCTTTCTCAGTTTCAAATTTTCTGGTAGCCATAATTATGTGACTGCAAGGAAACAGTTTCTGGGCACCAGAAAGGTTGTAGTGGCTAATACTATTCTTTGAAATATTTAAATATTTAAACTCTTACAAATCAGAAACTGCCTGTTTTGCTCAACAGTTTGTCAGGTTTAGTAAAGATGTTGAATTTTATTATCAAAGATAAAAATCCTGTACCATTAATATTCTGGGTGGGATTAAAATTCCCATCACTGTGTTGTTACAGATGGTACAAGATTCACGTCCCCAATTAAATGACACACTCCATTTATATGCAATGAGGTGTGCAAAAAGTGCTTTTGGCTATATATTAAGAAAAACCCTTAACTGACAATATACTGATTTAATACCCTCTAGCAGAAAATAGACAAAGGAGGTTGTTCTCGTGCTGGAACAGGCAGATTATGGCATCCTAAATTGCACAGCAATAATTTTGTGGTACATAAGGTCTAAAGGCATGGAAGTGTTTCAACATTAGGTCTAAGTGAGGGTAAAAGATGAGACAACTCTCATGTTTAAGATAGGATATATATGTAGTACTGGTCGTCCAGAAGGCCAATTAATTTCTTCTGCAAAATGACTCTATATTTTTTTAATTTGTCATAGAAGACTCAGAAGGACCCAAGCCAGGATTACTGCATGAGAAGCTAAATGAATTTTAGCAGACATGTTATAAACAAGAACTTCAGGTATATCTAATTTCACAGTGATATTTCTTCATCATACTTTTCTATGTTCTTGCTATTTTCTACTTTTCTATCCTCTTCTGCACGTATCTGCTAAACATATTTAATAATGTTGTGATCAGAACAGTCTGCTATTAGCCTAATTCAATGGATACCAACATGCAGAAAAATAAAAATGATAGCCCAAGTTGAACTGCACGTAAACGTACACAAAAGGCAAAACCACAACAGCAGCAACAGCAACAACAACAAAGCTCTGGACATTTCAGCAAAGTCTGGCATTGAAAGAGAAGCAACTCTACCTTGCATTCTGGACAACCATGACTTGCCTGCATTGATTCCAAGGTCGAGAAGGAAGGACACAGCCGGGAAGTGGGAAAGACAGGGAGAAAAGAGTTAGGAACAGAAGGAAGGAAGAAAATGCGAGAATAAAGACTAAAGGAGCTGTTCCTAATGCACAAACAACATGAGGGAGAAGACAGTCTCTGAACTAAGGTGAAAATAATGCTCCACTAGTATAATACATTCCCAGGTCTTGGTCACTATAGTACCTAGGAGTAATTTAAAGAAAGGGCTAGGAATTGAATAGGAATGGCATACTAGCGTGCTTTGTGGTCAGATCCCATCTAGAAGGCATATTTTGTTTGACAAATTGCATGGGGATAGCTCTAGGTAGGAACCTCACTCTTCATTTCATTCTAGTTCCCACCCTTCTTTCTGTTACCCACTCCGGAATGGACTGCCATATTCATGACATCTGTCTGATCTTTCTGGTTATTCAAGTTTGCAATAGGATTGCAATAGGATTAAAACATATCCTGTAACAAATAAAAGATGACCACGCTCTTATAGTATAAAAAGTGACACTCTAGGGTATTAAAGAAGATAGAAAATTAAAAGAGAGTGTTTATTTTCACTCATTAGCAAATGCTGATTAGAGATATAACCTTGGCAGTGATTTCCTCTTATACTGTCATTAAATAACACTAACGGTCAAATGACCCAAATAAAAGGCAGAATGCAGTTATCAGTTTGTATTTATATTCATGCTAAAAAAATAAAGTACTCGAGGAGGAGGGATAAATTAGAAGTTTGAGATTAGCAGTTACAGATTACTACATATAAAACAGATATACAGCAAATTCTACTGTAGAGCACAGAAACTATATTCAGTATCTTGAATTGAATCAGTTTGCTGTATACCAGAAACAAATGCAACATTGTAAATCAACTGTATTTAAAAAGAGTAGAAACATTGCAGTTATACTACTACATAAAGATATAAACTAACATAGAAACTCCCCTTTCTTGTTCTTTAGGGCTAGTTGGAAATGTCTATGAATTAAAACTAGAGTAACAATACCAGCAATTCCAAGTTTCTAAACAAAATTGTTGGGTAGGATGAAATTAAAGTCTGTATACTGAATTAGATATATCACTTGGCAATTTTCAAATTATTTTCTGAGTATTATCTAATCTGATTTTCCTGAGCAACTGAAAATTATGGCTCTCTCTACCGTGGCTCTTTCAATATCAACAAGGAAAGTGAATCTCTAAGAATTGATGATTTGACAGTTGTGACAACTGGTAAGCGGCATTCAAATGCACTGTATAACTCTAATTTAGATCCTGTTCAAACAAACCAACTATAGTTATAGAACATACTTTGTATGATTTTAGTGTTTATAAATTTGTTGAGCTTTGTTTTATGGCCCACAACATAGTTAATGTTGGTTAATGGTCCATGTGTTTGAAAAGTATATATATATATATATACATATACACACACACATATTCTGCTGTTGATGGGCAGAATATTTTATATATATCAACTAGGTCATCAAACTGACTAGGAAAATATTAGGAGGCAATTGGGGGAAATAAGAGATTTAAAAATTAAAAATTATTATGGCTATGTGTGGTATTATAATTATTAAAAAAATTTTTTTTTAGAAATATATACTATTAAGTTACAATAGTTGAGATCTATTTTAAAATAATCTGCATGGAGGGAATGTACAAGGGTAAAAGTGAAACATGATTGGCTAGAAAGTGGTAATTGTTGAAGCTGAGTAACGGGTGCAAGATGGATCATTATACTATTCTTTCTATTTATACTTCCAATGACTGAAAATTTCCCAGTAAAAAGTTATATTAAAATGTTGCTCTTCAAATTAAATGAAAACACAGCAAAAATGAAACCAGAGTCTTCAATAACTGTCCTCTAATTTTTTTCAACTATACCTCCAATTGTTGATTACTTACGGTTCCATCATACTAATTTGGCTAGTATAAATTCTTCATAAAAGGAAATGATCTGTTGGGTCCAAACTACTGGTTTGAAGCCATCCCTGAACTATGATTTATATATAAGACTAGAGCAATTTGCATTTATTATGTGAAAATTAAACATCTCTAAAGAATACTTGCTTTATACAAAGTTTCTATATTACACAAGAGATTTAAAGAGATCTTAACATTTATCTACCAAAGTTGACATTTCAAATATTATTATTTTATTTTATAATTTTAGAACAGTGATTTGAAAATATGCATGTAAATAATGATGCATCAAGTCATTTAATGAGCATTTAATGTATTGAATAATACACATGTCCTATAAGATAAAAGAGTAACTGATGAGTCCTTGAACACTGGTTTCACAAATACATTTTGAAAGGTAAACTAATTCTTTAAATCTGCCACAAACAATTCCTGAAATGATTTCACAGTCTACTTGATTGGTCATAGCACAAGAAGTTTCTAGAAGTGAAATACTAATAAGGTTTTATTCAAGCAGCTTTTGTTATGATCATGAATCTCTAAAAATCCATTAAGGCTTAATTATAAATTTTTAATTCCACCTTGCTTACTAATTGGGAATAAAAAAGTATGACATGTATTATAGATAAAACTAAGAAAAAGATATTAAGCTCTTTAGAGATCAGAAGACATTATCACTATTTTTTAAAAAAATCATATGGCAATACTTATGATACTTTGAAGACATCACTTCTTTACTTACCCTCTCCCTGGAAGAAGGTACACTTTAACAAAGGGGTCTGAATAACCATTGTTGTCTCGAGGGACTAGGTTTCTTGCTTGGAGAATATGTATTATGAGATTTCCAAGGTCATAGTTGATTTGAAGCTTAAAGGAACAGCAAATATTCCATGAATATTATTTTGTTTTTTAAAAAGCATATAATACATTACTGTTCAATATTTTGCCAGTATTAAAAAAAATTCTCATAAGAAGCATTAACTGTCACTTTCATTTTATTTGAAACTGAACAGACCAGTTTAATGTCTAATTTAATTGGGAGCTCCCAGGCACACATTAATTACAAGTAAATGTGCTGTTCATTCTTTCCACTGTGAAAGTTCTGGCCTGTCTAAAATTCATTTAGAAGGAAAATAACACAGTGAATGCTAGTTACATTTTTAAACAAAATTTCCACTGTTAGCAAAATCAGAAATGTTAATGTTCATAAATACAATTGCCGGAATTTTGAAAATAAATTAACTAACTGATAAATGTATTAGAAAATCTCTTTTGCATTTCATTAAATAGTTAATAGTGGGTAGAATCATTATTTAAACACAAATGTTAGTACTGAATTGTCAGGATATTTAAGAATGTTCAATTTGATCTCTTTCTATAGTACACTAGCTGATAGACCTGTAGCTTTTCTTTTTGTGCCTGCTTTCTTAAGAGAGTGAGGTTAAGATAATAAAATACAACTGTTCTTTAATCTCAGAAACTGAAGAGAAAAGAGGCATTGTCTCATAGATGTCTAACGGCTGTTGGAAAGTTGTCATTGAATAGTAAAAGACTTACCATTCAAACTAAATTTTAAGAAGCCAGCATGATTCAAAATAATTGAATTAACCAATTTTTCTCCTTCAAAAATGAAAAATTCCTTTGGTATCATTTAGATTAGGACAATTCTGTTTGATGCTGCTTCAAATTATCAAATAACAGAAAGGAAAGTGAAAGTGTTAGTAGCTCAGTCGTATCCGACTGTGTGACCCCATGGACTGTGCAGACCCTGTGGACTGTCGTCCGCCAGGCTCCTATGTCCCTGGGATTTCCCAGGAAAGAATACTGGAGAGGGTAGCCATTCCCTTCTCCAGGGATCTGGCCGACCCAGGGCTCGAGCCCAGGCCTCCTGCATTGCAGGTCGATTCTTTTTGCCTGAGCCACCAAGGGAGCCCTAACAGAAAGGAAGAAATCTATACTTTGAAAAGGAAAAACCATAAATAAAAAATGAATGTACTTTTTATAATCATGCAAAACAGATATGCTATATTTATGTTGAAAATGGAATAACTTAGATGAGTCAGCCTTCATTTAAAATTTAATATTAAAATGATTTACTGATTTCAGCATAATTTTGATCTGGTTATGTTTTGTGGCAGAAAAGGAATCTTTGTTCACTTTTCTCAGTACAGAAAGCTCCAGAGTCTCACTGACCACTATGAAAGCAATATGAAACATGAAAGAAAGAGCCATGAAGGAACAGGAGAAATAAGAAGTCTAAGACTGCAGTAACTGTGTTTTAATGGAGTACTAAAATACAGGAATTATTCTGCAATTAATTTCACTGAGGTTTAGAACAGCTTTCAAATCTTTAAGGAGAAAATTTCCCCCATTTTTTTCCTTTCTCTGCTAGTCTAAAAGTCTACTTTTAACTGGGAGGCAGCAAAATCATTTCTTATCGAAATAGAAATTTGTAGGATACCCTAAGAGAGTGCTTTTCAAAGTGTACTCCGTAAATTTGGTGCCTTAGAGAACACTTAGAGTTGCTCAGATGTTACATGTGAGAGAAAATGAGAAGCCCCCAGTAACACTTAACCAGACCTATTACATTCTGGCAATTCACTGTTTGGGTGTTTACACAAGGTTTCATCTGGAATGAGGCTTTGCTAAAAAGACAGAAGATAAAATATAAAAAAAATTAAATCACTGTCATAAGAAACTATCTCCTCTCGCCACTCCCCCTTAAAAAAAAAGAAAAAGGAAAGCAAAGCAAAGCAAATATCCTGGGAGTTGAAAATATTAGAGCAAATCTCTACTATAAAATTAAATATTACCACTGAAGTGAAAAGAAAATAAGAACAAAGCAAATGAATTTACTCACAAAACAGAAACAGACTCACAGACAGATAATGAACTTATAGTTGTTGGTGGGGGGCGCGGGGGAAGGATGAAGGAGAAGGGGTAGTTAGGGAATTTGTGATGGACATGTACACACTGCTATATTTAAAATGGGTAACCAACCACGACACACTTGTACAACACATGGAACTCTGCTCAATGTCATGTGGCGGCCTGGATGGGAGGGGAGTTAGGGGGAGAATGGATATATACACATGTATGTATGCATATATATATATATGGCTGAGTGCCTTTGCTCTTCACCTGAAACTATCACAATATTGTTTGTTAATCAGCCACACCCCAATTCAAAATAAAAAGGTTTTAGAAAATAAGCCTTTCAGTAAAAAACAAATTATAAGAAGCCAAAAAGAAACACAGCACATGCTGGCCCTTGAGCAAGAAGTGAAAAAAATGAGACAAAGAAAGACATATTATGAATCAGAATATCTAGCATTTTCTTTGCTGCATGTGAAATGAAAAGTGATCACCTTTAGCTTTCTAGAAGTAAGAAATAGCAGTGAGACAGCAAGATTGAGAACACATTGGTGATTTCAGTTCCATCCTGCCAGGTCCTTCTTATTAAGGTGCCCATGTTCTGTGCTTTTCTTCATTTCCACTCTCACTCTCCACTCTGCTTCAATCAGGGTATGCCCAGGTGACAACTGGTTTCTTTGTCTTTGTGTCCTCCTCTCTATAATACTTCTTAAAGGCTGTGACTCTATGAATTTCCATGACATATTTGTTTCAGTTAGCCTCACCCTCACTCTAAAATATTTCCTGATCACTCTATTATGTTGTGGCTAACATCCTTCGGCTTCTGTTCAAGGTTCTTTTAATTTAGTCTTAACTTATCTCTACAGGAACATTTTCCTGCAGCAGAACAGATCTGCTCCTTTCATTACCCTCTGGTAGCAGAATTGTTCCTTGTACCATTTCTTCTTCCAGGAAAACACTTCTTCTTTTTCTATGCTTATCCTCAAATTACTTCAAATCTCTGTTACTCTTTGTGAAAATATACTGTAGCGCAACTAAGACTCACTGTTCTTTCCCCTTATCGAAAACGTACTATCTCCAAATAGCTATTATTTTCTATTTTGTTAATTCTTTTCACATGACATTTCTTATCTACCTTAAATTACTTTTTGGTATCATCTAATGTATCATTCTTCTAACTTTTCTGAATCTGCCCATTTATGATGCAATATATAAACACAGAAACATGCACACAGAACTAAAAAAAAATAATGATTTAAACTATTTTCTTCTATCTTCCTGGTCAAAATCGTCTCTATTAATTTGGTAAATTACAGATTGGTTATGACCTCCAGTATGAAAAACACTGCTCTAGAAGAACTGTTCAGCAATTATTTAGCAATTGTTGACCAGAGGAAGAAAAGAGGACAGCATTAGACTCATGAAACTCTCAATGAGAACTTCAAATTTCCAGGAGAATCTGTCATGTTTGAAACACATTCAACAACTATAAAGTAAATGTGACTTAATACATTGATACTGTTAAGGTATTAGGTAGATTTCAAAGTACAGAATTCCAGAGGTGTAATTAGATTTAATAAAACATATATTGTATTAAAATACTTATACCTATATAAGTCATATAACAGGTAAAGTTCTAATAGTGCTTACAATCTCAATAGACCAACGGGAAAAAGAGCCACAGAAGATGGTGTAATAATGATCTTTCAGAAGAATTCATACCTGAATTTCCCCCGTAATTGGATGAGAGACAACCTTTGCTGCATCGGGCGGCTGCAATAGTAAGACATATTAGATTAATGGATAAACCTTTCACAGCACTTACCATTTAAACTTCCCTCTGAGTTAATTTCTGTTTGGTCAGAGCACACTGCCTGGAAAGTACATTTTGTCCATTTGGTTGCTTTAGATTATGGTGTCTCCTTACACTTCTCAATACATGTTTAATTTTATAGATACATAAATCTCTTTTTCATTGTGTGAAACCTGTTTTGAAGCTATAATTTTATACCTGAAGTAATGTACGTTCAATTACTTAAGAAATGAAACACTTTTGGTTGAAAGTATTCAATTTAAATATTAATGGATTTTAAATGTCTATAAGAAAACGAAAAAGATATTGTTTTTACTTGACTGCCTAGGAGGCCAAAGTTATAAAAGTCCACCTTATATTCCTTTGCTGGGTTCTCAGTCCAGTCCTACTTTCTTCTAGAGTGGGACACCCAGGTAACCAATTCTTAGCATTTCATACCCCTTTAATTAAAAGTCCATAACATTCTATCTAAGTTCACATTTCCTTAATAATTTTCTTATGTCAGGAAAGCCTTAAAAACAATTCAGAATGTGATCTGATAAAGTGATTCATTCTGCTGATTAAATGACTGATTACTGATCTGTTACATTTCAGTAGTACAAATTTGTACCAAAGAAGGAATGATATCCCTGACTCTAGATCTGTAACAGAATTTCAGGTAATGTGGCATCACTGTAGGGAGACATTTACTAAGATGGAGGCAAGCTTACTGCTGACAAAAAAGGCCCTGTCTCCCTATATACACATCATATTGGCCTTATATTAATAATTAACTGGAAAAGGAAAATCATAATATTTAGGTGTGTTTCTGCTACTTTTTTTTATTAATTTATGCTAGAAATGAGAGCAATCAAAGAAGACAGCTATCTTCCAGGTCTTGTTCTGTGCAATATTTAAAATAATGTGTAATCATTGGTAAAGTGATACAGAAGGGGTTAAATTTTCTAAGCCATATATCCTTTATTAGTAAAGTTCATTTACATGAATGGCCATTTAGTAACACTGAAACTGTGCTCTGGTTGCAAAGGATAAACTGCTAGTTATTGAACAATTATGTTGAGTTAATTCTTTTACTGTTTAAGTTTTAAGGAAAGCAAAGGAGTCAAGAAAAATAAGGACTACACAATTTCCTGAAACTCTATCTCAATTAAAGATGGGAAGTTTCCTAAAACTAGATATCCATGAATCTGAATGAGCAAGGCTGAGGGATAACGAGAGATAAAAAGTCAAAAATAATATTAAAAAATCCCAAGTAATGATTGATAATGTATTTTGTTTTGATTTCATTTTGATGGTTGTAACTCATTTGAAATATGATCATGCATACATAACTAGATTCAATGCAGAGAATAAACTTATGGACAAATTTTAAATGTTCTGGGGTGGGGCAATGAACTCATAAAGGCACACAAGGATACAACAATATCTGTGTACAGTGGGCAACCTACCAGCTCCAGGTAGCTATGGTTTAAGATTAGAGACAAGTATTTCTTTTCAGTGATGTCATGCCTTTGTGAAGCTGGTTTTTGATGACTGTAGTGATTAAAAAAATGTATTAAAAGAAATTAGTGTGATCAGTGTGGAAGAGGAAATAAGAGTGTCAGTGTCCAAACCAATTCTACTATCTGAATAGCTGTGCAGTGCCTGTCAGGCACACATATCCCACTGATAAATAATTTTAGTGTATAACTATGAAATAGATACATTATTTTATTTCATTTTATGTATTATTTTTCCAATGGTTACTAAGATGTTAGGACATAAATACTAGTTAAACTGTTGGGACCTAACTACATAATAAATGTTAATTATTTTAGGTATTTCTTTTGGTATAAGGGCAGTATGAAAAAATTACTGAGCGGTTGTGTGCTGTGATAGAAAAGTCTGGGAGATCAAGGACCTATTTCATTAGAACACTTAAAATTAGTAAGCATTTTAGTTGACATTTATTTATACTATGACTTGGGAGAAATTATTCAGATATTAAAGATAATATGAAGAAAATCTGATTTAGATTTCAGAAATAAAACAGATTGAGGCAGTAAAATAAAAATTTTGGAGGCAAAAATTCATATTGAATTAGTAAACAAAATAATTTAAAATGGTCATATGTATATATATATAACATAATTTGAACCTACATCTAAATAATTTAGATTCACCTTTTACTTATATTTAACTCAGAAGCAATCACTTAAACTGGAACATTATTAATAGATTAATAATTACTTATGAAATCACTCAAAACATTTAATAGATGGTGTTCTAAATATATATAATTAATGTATAATTATGCTATGGTTTAAATATTTTTGTTTTAATGTACTTCATAATATTACTGTTTTATAATTTAATATATAGTTAGCCTCATAACTAATAAAAACAAAAGGATGCTAAAATTATAATTTTCTAAATTAACTGAAGAACATATGCTATATTTGAACATATTACCTGACTCAGAAACATGTAAGCTTCAGACCATTGCTCAGTATTTCTCTAATCTCTCAATGTCAATATTTTAATATTGTAGGAGTTGTAGAACAAATAAAAATAAGTATTGCATTTTATGCATACTATAAATATTAAGTTTATTTATATTAAGAAGCTTGGTACCAGCTAAAAGTTGCTGATAAACCCTCCAAAAGATGAATAGTCCCTTAGTAATAGTCTCTTTCTTCAAGAGTGTTAACATCTATTCACTATATATTTCTATAAGTATATATAAAATCTCACTAATAACCAGATTTGATTATTGTTATTATTACTAATAAGAATTAAAAAACAATCTACATACCATCACTGTCAAGTAGACTATAATGTGAGCCACATAGGTTATTTCAAATATTCTATTAGTCACCTTAAAAATGTAAAAGTAAGTGGTAAAATTAATTTTTAAAAATATATTTTGTTTATTTGGCTGCACCAGGTCTTAGCTGCACCCCACCGGTAGCATGTGGATGTTTTAGTTGGGTATGTTGGATCTTTAGTTGTGGCATGTGGTGTTTAGTTCCCTGACAAGGGGTCAAACCTGGGCCCTCTGCATTGGGAGCATGAAGTTTTAGCCACTGGACCATCAGGAAAGTCTTGTGCAATTAATTTCTGTTGACATATTTTATTTGATGCAATTGATTAAAAATAACATCATTTCATCATGAAATCAATATAAAAAATGTAATGAGCTATTTTACATGTTTTTTTCCTACTAAGTCTTTAAAATCTGCTGTATAATTCACATATACAGCATACCTCAGTTAGGACTAGCACATTTGAAGTGCTCACTTGCCACAGGTGACTAGCAGCCAGTGTCATGGACTTAGTGAAGCTCTATAGCTGTTTCAGCAAAACCTCTGTAAAGCTACACAGGTCACATTCTTGGCGTAGAAAAGAATTACCACATATCATAAAATGTGTCAGTATCATTTCCTTGATGTTTGTCCTATGATACCTGTGTGCATCTTGCAATCACTGCCAAAAAAGCTCACATAACAAAAAAACTATATTTTTTACTCCCATAATATTATAAAGACTCACAGGTGCCACTGATGTTTTAATTTAATTTTAACTTATTTTGTTATGGTCTATGCAAGCTACTCTACTATGTGCTTAGGGAGCTATAAAGAAAATAAGAAATGGCTTTTGATTTTTAATGAGTGTGCAGCCCACTCAGTAGGATAAAATAAGCAAACAAGTAACCATAATCAACATACAAATTGTTTTAATAGATACATAAAGCATCTGGCACTTTGGTGGGAGGGAAGGAGGAAGAGAAGGGTAACTCTAACTTTAAGGAAGGATTAGAATATGGAAAGGCTTAGTAGAGAAAGGGTTTATGTTATTTGTGTTTATCATTGGCTCTTCATTTTCTGCAGATTGTAGAGTAAAAGCAAGGCATGGCATATAATGTCTTTCAATTTACAATTATCTAGGCTTCTCCTCTATTTATTATCCCTATATCTTTTGTATGCCATGACTTAAGCATACAATTTTCTGTTTCTCATTTTTTTTTTTTTTTTGTGATGCATTCTCTCCTTCAAAGTTGGTTCCTTTTTCCCCTTTACCAAACTGGTTCACTAGCCAAATGCCAGCTTTCCTAACCCCACTGTCCTAGTGCCCTCTGCGGTTTTTAATGACTACCAACATTATAGCTTTACTGAATTTGTTTATATATCATTCCTCACCTATACTTAGATCAGCACTTCTTAAACTTCAAGGGTTATCACACTCACTTGGAGAACTTATTAAAACTCAGGTTGCTTGGTCTTATCCCTGGAGCTTCTGATTCAGAAGGCGTAAGGGTACAATCAAGAATTTGCATTTTTAATAAGCTCCTGCCTGATGCTGGTGCTACTGGACTGAGCAGGCTTTAAGAACCACTGGTCTACATAGTATAGAGGGATGGATTTTATCCATCTTTGTATCTTGCATACAAATTATGACTCATGGTACTGAAGGTGGCATCTAGAAATATCTTTGGAAAGTAGAATGAGTTGAGCCTCTTTTTTTGGGGGGTGAGGTGGGGGGATGGGAGTAAAATGAATTTGATAACCATAATAAATAGAGTACTTAGTAGCGAGGCTACTGTAAACATCTGACAACATTAAGCTTACTGTGATAATCTTTCAAGGAACATCTCCCTTACCCAGGTAGAGGCAGGGAAGCTGACATTCCAGGTAGCAGGGATGAATTTTAAACAGGATAGGGACCTAATCCTATCACTGTCACAGATTCATAGTTGGAGGGTAGATTAAGAGGAAGGAAGAGAGACTGGTGAGTGGAGTGACTAGTAGTAAGTGCAATACTGCAGGTAAAAAAGAATAATGCTTTACTAACCGAAATTGGCAAGTTCAGAAAAGATGGAAAATTATTAGAGGATTATCAAAAAACTAGAGTTAACAGCACTAGGATTCAATGAGTAAAAGAAAAGATGAGACAATGGTGCTTTTATACTTTGACTTAATTTTCTGCGAGGATGGTGATGTCAAATGCTGAAATAAGAAAAATATCTGGATGACAGACTTATAGAATTTATTGTGTTTGGTATGAAAACTTTGTTAGCAGAGCTTGTCATGTCTTTAGGTCATCTGTGTGGAGATACTGAGAAATCTGAAATGGTATCAGCCTGTAACTTTGGAGACAGGGCACCTCCATGAGGTAATTCATCAAAATTAATACATAATTGCATGTGGTAAAATACAGTTGTGTTACAATTTATTTTGAAATTGAGTCTATCTTTGAACTTATTCCTCATGAAACCATAAAAAACTTTATTTTCTGAAGTCCAGACAACTTATCCAACGATATCCTTCCTATATATATCTCACCACATAAAGAAAAACCTTTATGTTTGAACAAACAAACAAACAAACCCTTTTAAATGTATTTATCAATCATGAAGAGTTTTTCTATTAATAATCAATCTAAGGGGGTAAAATGACAAATTGTCTATATTATCACCTGATTCTATTAAGTTAAAATTAATTTATGTTTTCTTTTAATTCCCCAGTAACTCTAAAATAGTACTGTTAGAAACATTTATTCTAATTGAAGAACTGCATGAAGAGAAAATTTATTAGGATGGAATTAGGGATACATTTCAAAATAGCAATATTGTATTACTGGCTTTCTTGTTTCTTGTTGTCCTAAATTATCCTCATTTCATGGTCTTTTTTACTATTTATTTAAATTACAAAGTATAATGTAATGTATATCTTGTGTTTCCAAAAAGATACAATGACTATATTTGATACACAAAAAGGTTCAGGTTTATATAACAACAACAAAGCAAAAGAACAGGAAGCATCAGATACATTTTTTTCAAGTCCCTCATAATAATTGCCACAATATTTTAAGAAAGAAACACATCATTTTGATACATCTTGTTCAGTTTTATACTGAGATATGGAAACCTTTTTTGTTTGTTTCAGCAGGTCAATAGGAAAGGAGAAATCACAGGAGAAACACCTTCAGGAAATGACGCTATGTTTCCTGTCTCCTAATTTAGATAAGGAGCTAGAAAACAAGTAATCCCGAGGTTGCCTCGGGCATGTCTCACCTTGCTGCTGTGCTTCTTTTTGCTCACTGAGGGCGACCCTGGCTGCCCAGGACTGGGGACGGAACTGGACCCTGCCGATGTAGGGCCTGAATGAACGTGAGCCCCCTTTTCAACAACAGATGACAGAACCAGTGGCGACTGCTGTAGGGAGACCTTCTGGAGTTCTGCTGCCAACTGCTTGGGATCAACCCCTGGGGACTTCGCTTTATCCACTGCAACAAAACCAAATGGCTTCACATATTCTCAGTTTCATAGTGCTTAATACCATGGAGCTTATCTGAGTTCTAGATGACAAAGTCAAAATGTTACATAAAACAATTTACATCAAAAAGAAAATACATGCACGTGTACCTTTACAAATCTATTTCTAAGGAAGTCTAGAAGGTTCAGAGAAAAATTAAAGACTACTGAATCAGAGAGGAAATGTGAGGTTCCTATTATATCATCAGAAAAATGCTTGTAAATGTTTTATACAGAGAACTGAATGCATGACAAAATATTTTCCTCACTGGAATTTAATATCTATGATTGGTTGTTTTTATTCCCTGAAATCTCATATATCTATTTTTCTAAGGGGAAATTTCAAAGAATATATTTACATTTACAGTTGTATGAAAATTTCTACAGGTTTTGATCTCTGTTTAGTGCCCTAACCCAGACTCTTAGAGATATTGGCTATAGCATAGGAAGTGCTTGGTAAATATTTATTGAACATGGAACAACAATATATTTAATCTCTTAAATGAGCTAAATTTATAGACTATAACTTCTATCTAAGAAATAGTTAAATCTACTTCACTGTGTACTTATATATTATATTGAGTTTTGTTTATTATAAAAGGCAATCAAGAGTTTTAGTAGTGTTCCAGAACTCAGCTATGCTAAAAAGAATCTAGTAGCATCCCAAAATTATATAGGACCCAAAATAAATGACTCCATGGATTACTTTCATGTGATGAATTTAATTTTAAAGAATTCAAAATGTGAATTCATGCAGCAAGAATTTCATGTGAATTTCTTTAATGGCTCTAACATGTATATGTGTGCTTCCCTAGAATACTAAAATGAAACTACAATGCTTCTGATTATCTTACTATTACATAAATATATAAACATCCATAAATCTATGCATTTATTTTTGCCTATATCTGTGTTTGTGTCTACATCTTCATCTATAGCTCCATCTGCCTCTACGACTGCTTCTCCATCTCCATCCTCACCACACTTGGAAGCAGACTGCTTTCACCTACCAGCTTTTGGTGGTTCATGGAGCTCTAGGTGCTGGGGATTTTCAGAATCTGACAGCATATTGAGGTCCCTAAAAATTAAAACAAAAAAAAATTAAGAAAGCAATTGAGGAAGTCTGAAACAAAAGGCCCCTTTTCCCAACTACGCTGAGTATTTTTTTCAGTAGGTAAATGAGAAGTGGTTAATGATATAAAGCAATTTCAAAGCATGCTCACCCTTCTAACCAAATATATATTTGCAATGCTGTTAAAAGTCAGCTGATAAAAATGATTATTTAAGGTGAAATCTTTATGGATTAAATATAATTTCATTTTGAAATACTGTACAAATCCATGAAATCTAAATGGGTTTAGGCTTTCATTTATATGATGCATGTTTCAAGAAAATCATGAAAGGGGACATAATCAGAAACAAAATTAGCTGAATTCTTTCTGTGCATTAGACTTTGATTCTGAACACAAGACATCTATAAACTTGCATTCACTTTATTTTCTAATTACAAGATATCTTGCTAACTGGCAAAGGTTCCACCTTAACAATTTTAAATTAAAAGAGCCATGAATAGCCAAAAAAATGGAAACAAAAAGATGGGGAAAAACTCACAGTCTTACACATATTTCTGCTTCCCCATTTTGCTGACTAATGATACTCTGCACTTCTTCATATGTTTTAGAAGTTAAAGGAATTCCATTCCACTCCAATACTTGCATGCCTAAAAAGAAAAATTCAAGTATAAAATAAAAAAAAAGGTATGCTATGTCTCATCTGGGTCCAAAGGGCACAGAAGACATTGCTATGCATTTAAAAACCACTTCAGCAGCCATTCAACTGAGCACACCATTTCAGAGAACATCAGTTCAGAGTTCTCTGGAACATAAATAGCAAAACCATATGTAGTCTGATTTCATCAACTTACCTGAACATATAACATGTATCTCATACAACATGCAAAATGTTGCTCTTGAAAAACTATTAAATATTATCAAACCCATGCATTTTGTTCACACCATTATGAAGAAAACATTCTTGACTACAATTAAACCAATTTTTTTATGGGGAAGAAATAATTGTAAATACCAATATATTGTTTTCTATGTGCAGCAAGCAACTAGAAAAGTGTACACTCCCATTATATTATGGCATGGGAGTGGTAGAAAAAATCGTATTATTTTGTTGTGAAGCTTCCTTTAAGAAATTGTTATAGCCTCAACTCTGCTCAGATAAAAAAGGTTTCCATTAAGTGTCTTTTACTTCACTATATGCAAGACAGCCCTAAGTAGAAGAAACAGATGTTATGTAGAGGGCAGCATCATGGGTGTGTGTATGCTCTATGCTAAGAAGGGCCCCATACTCTGTTTAATCTTTGCTGCTGCCATTTTGAAAGTCTTAACACTTTGAACAAAGAACCCTACATTTTCCTTTTGCTCTGGGTTCCGTAAATTATGTTGCTGGATTGGTTACAGAGCATTTTGTGTTTCCTCTTTTTCTAGAAAGATAATTTTCACAGAAAAAAGTAGCGACGTAATTAGTATTTCAATATTTTACATTTAGGTTTTTTTGGTCCCTTTTATATGAGCTGTCAAATAATTTAGGGTGAGTATTTGGCATAAATCACATGGTCATATTACATAGCTATGTGAGCTAGATATAAATTCGATGAAACCACCCAAGTTATAGTGCCAGATATTTGTGAACGCTACCAGCTTTACCTGAGGAAAAATACCTGCCATGGCTAGAACATCATTTAAAAAGAAATACTTGTTGAACAATTAGGTTTTCAATGAGCTTCATAGATGCCAATGTGAAAGTCCCCATTGTTCACTATTGGCTTCCATGGGAAATTCTAAACATGGCATGATTGAGTCTTTAAAAGTTTTAATGATTTTGATATACATTGATAACAAGTAAGGGAAGTTCTTTTACCATTGAGAAATGGTAAAAGAAGTCCATAAAAATGCCTACAATAACACAAACAAGAGTGTTTTCTATAACTTACTCCAAGGAAACTTTATCTTCAGATGGGCCTTAGGTTATTTCAACAATCCCAGGCTGTTGTACACATAAAATGAGAAAAATTACATAAAAGAGTGTGATAATACCTCTAAAGAAAAATTCAGCACTGAAAGAGGTAAAGCACACTGACAAACACTCCTTTTAGTCACAAGGAAGAGTACATTTATAACCAGATGATTCTGAACTGAAACAAATTAATGGTGTCATAATCCAGAAATTGCATTGCCACTTTTCTGCAGGAACAAATTCTATTAAAGGAAATAGCTGCACAACCTTCTTGCTTCCTGTTTTGAATTTACCTGTTAGTTTTTCACATTTTAAAGGGGAAAATTTATACAATGTAATTATTCAGTGAAATGAAAAATGCTTCTAGTTGTAAAAAAGAAAATCTGTTTAGATTCATTAATAAAACTGATGAAAAAATACAGAGATAACTAGCCTAGATATATACCCGAGGTCATGAACTACATGATTTTCTGTCTCAAGATATACCAGTTGAACCTTCTTTCCCCCAATAGTTTCCCACTGGCACTGGTGCAGTACTGCAGTTCAAAAGATTTTGCCAATTCTTTTATTTTTGGTTTCATGGTGAGTATGAAATCTATAGGGAATGTGACTACTTGAATGTAGTTACTTAATAACAACTTACCTTTCCTCTGTCTCTCCAACTTCCTACAAATACTACAAGAATCACAGTAAAATAAATGAGTATACAAATCACTCCTTTTAAATTCATAAGATGATTTTAGTAGTTGTAAGAATTAAGTATAGTTAAGTATGTGTCTTCAAATACATAATAGTTTTGAAAATTATTTTTTTTGGCTGTGCAACCCAGCATGCAGGATCCTAGTTCTCTAACCAGGGATCGAACCTGCATCTCCTACAATGGAAGTGTGAAGTCTTAACTGCTGGACACCTGAAAAGCCTCTTGAAAATACTTTAATTGTAAGGTCCTAGAAACTATTTTAAAATGCATGCAAAAATTATTTGATCATACTACACAGAAGTTCACTAAAATAGTATTTTATCACAATTGATTTGAATGTTGGCATACTCAATGTTAAGGAAACTTTTTATTCTGACTTTGGTTTAGAAATAATTCCTAGAAGATAGTGAACACAAGAATGGTTTTATCCACTGTTTAGCATTGTGAGCAAACACATTTTCTTTAAATTATATCGACATGTATGCAAACTAGTTATTCAAGTCTGAGATTGTACAGATGGTACTTCAATTATATCCACTGAAAGTGCCTATTCTAATAACTTCTAATAGGAATGCTAGGATAATCTGATTTTTGATTTGTATGAGTAATGTGAAAATTAACTTCTTAAAATCTTACACTTAGGTAATTAAAACCCCCAAAATATAATAAGAAATTTTTGAATTAAAAAAATCAGTCACCATAAAACACTCAATATTTATCACTATTTCTATCTGCTATTTATATCAATATTTATCACTACTTCAAAAACATATTCTGTATTAAAATTATTATATTACCTATCAAAATTTGATAGATTAAGGTATATCAAAATATATATCACACAAAAGCTCATGATTTTTATTTATCTATTCCACAAATATTTAAGTGGCAGGCACTACACAATTTATCACCTTTGTATCTACTGTTTTATGCTGTTATAAAAATTAATAAAAATATACTCTAGTAGAAAAAAACAGAAATATCTTGGCAATTAGCAAGATGAAGATGAGTCACAGAGAAGGAAATTCAAAAGTATTTTAAGTACATAAAGAAAGACTCATGAGAGATTAGAAAGTATAAATGAAAGCAATAGTGATGTATTACTTAACTCTCACTATACTGAAAAATGTTTGAAAGCCAGAGAATACAGCGTGTTGACCAGGATATGGGATTAGGGGATCATGACATAGTATGTGGTTGTTTAGCTTTATCACCACTGTATGAATGTGAGAATACTATGACTATTTCTGGATGAAAAATACAACTGCTTGTTTACAATTTACAAGCATGTAATTATTTTATTGGGAATTCAGATAAATGCAACCACTCTACGGTACAATGTGGCAGAATGTTGTTAAATAAAGCACATGTACACCCCAGGACCCAAAAAACTTCTTGAGTCTCTATTTATGGGGAGGTGGTAGCATCAGGAAAAATGGACAAAGAGAATGCACTAAATATTCACAATGGAAACACTTAGCAGTCTTAAGAAAGAAATCATACCAGTTGTCCCAAAAGATGGATCCATCTTAAAAGCATCTGACAAGTAAAAACATGTGAGAAACAGGACCTGATCTAAGGGCAATGACATTTACATTCATTAAAATGATATCCCACACAAACTAACACTATACATTATACAAATAAAAAATAGACATTACATAAATTATAATGGTTGCTCATGGAGGTAAGAACAGATAGGTAAAGAAAATGAGATTAAACAAAAGATTTAATAAATGAATAAACAAACAAACACCCCCACTACACACAAACATGGTTGGTGGGGACCTAATGAGAACCAGTGGGGTTGGGGTTGATGTGCTACGAAATAAGAATTCGATATAGCTGAGTAAAACAAAAAAACAGAAAAAAACCCCAAACTTCATTAATTCAAAATTTGTAGATATTATTCCCCTTTTCCACTGATATTATTAACTATGACTCTAGATCAGTTTCCTAAATTTGGACATCTGTGCTCATGAATTCTCGATAAACTAGTGGCAGCAGGAGAAACTCAGCTGAACTGGTTATTTGTCTTGGCTTTCTAAATAGCAAAGAAACCACGTAAGTGAGTTTCAGGAGTCCAGTAAGTTATCCCCATCAGTTACACTAGTTACTTAAGCATTTTCAAGTTAGGCCATGTTAATATAAGTGAAATGCATAGACATGTATTTTATTACTTTCAAAACTACAGTTAACATTTTTAGCCTATTTATATATTAACATTGGCTAAAGTCCATTGAGCTGCAAAAGAGTTGGACACGACTTATGAAAAAACATATGTTAACATAAATGTTAACATAAAGAATGAAAGAAAGGTGCAAAAAGGGAAAAAAGAGGAAAGGGAAGAAAGAATGAAGGGAGGTAAAGGTAAAAAAAAAATTGAATATAGTTTCCTGAATATACAGGCCAAAGGAAATGCCCTAATCTATGACAAGATGTTCAATACTGTACAGTTGAACACAAAAAATCAGCAAAGTATGGCTTTCATACAAAAGTTCTCAAATGAACTTAACTTATATGTTACAAAATTGTCACATTTTGAATGTGAAAAGTTATTTAAGAAATATCAAAGACTAGTGTTAAACTGAGTTTACTCACATTATTTTTTTTTCCTATTTCTGAGTCTACTGAAAGTATTCTGAATTGATGACTTCTACACTTATAGGTGTAAAACAGATTTAGCTCCATTCATACAACATTTTTAAAGAAAACAGATTATCACCTCCTTTGCAGTATTACTGGTCAATTTATTATTGACTAGGGTCACTGAAAGAGGATTGCATGAATAAAATGTCTTGTAAAAACATGTCACAACTATTTCATAGACTCATTATAAAGCAAGCAAGATCCTGTTAGATATAGTAGTTTTAGTTTTTTGTACAAAAGAGAAGTAAAACATGAAGTGACGACTTTTCTAACACCACATATTTAGTTAATGGTAATGCAGAAATAGGAACTCTGTTTAAATCTCTCTCAGGCCAATGCTAGTA